CTCGCCCGGAATCTTACTTAAAAAGCTCATTGTAAAATATAAAACAGCATTTCATTATCATTTTAAGTCTACTAAACAACCAATATGCATATGCGACTTAATTTCATCCGCAACTGTGTGTAAAACCCCTTGAATTTCTTATCATATCATCAGCCCAGCCATGTGTTGTAAAGTCAAGGAAGACTTCATGATTGCAAAGGCACGAGTTTTGGTTATTTTGGGGCTGCATTAGTGAATAAATGACATACTGTATTTACTCCAGTTAACTCTTTAATTTATTATACAATTAATGTTTTTGGTATTTTGTTTTATTATTATTGAGCTATTTAATAAGGAATTACTGGCTAATCAGTCTAAAAACGAACTGCTTGACAAATCAAAATAATTTATTCCTCATGATATTAATACTTTGTTGTACTAATTTGTACACCAACAATTAATAGATGAACTCTTGGTATTGCCTGAAAATGTCCTTATATACACCCTTTTATTATCTCACTTACCAGAATAAAAAGGGGGAAAAAAAACAAACATTTTGTTTGAAGACCGACATTCTTCTTCTTCTTGTTGTTATTATTGTAACTGTCAATGGTAACAGTCAAATATATTAGAGTGGTAGTGTGTAGATGATTCTTTTCTATTTCTTACCGTGTGATGGCTACTGTGGTAAGATCTGTATCACCATGAGCTTGATAGTGACTATGCATACTCTGTACTGTACTGTTTATGAGGCTTGTTGCTGGGGAAACCGTATATGATTGATAGCATTCATGATTTTCGTTGAATGGATATTCTGCATCCGAATAAAGCTTTGAATCAGGGGTTTACATACTAAACCTGCATGAATGTGTATGAATGTGTGTAGCAAATGTCAGGTAATCATCAATACAACTTCTTTGTGAGCACGGATACATTCGCTCAAAATACAAACGCTTCATGCTGAAGGAATGGGCCAGGATTTTAGTGGCTGTAGTGGGAAAGGTGGTTTGAAATAGAGCTTGCTTATTCTTGTTCATTAATTGGCCCTCTGTGTTTCTCACAGTTGAATGCTCGTGTGTAGTATGAATTTTTGTCAAGCCTCTGACTTGGCACTGCTAATCAAAAATATATTCAGACAAATGAAAGATTACTCTTGTGATGTTAGTGTGCCAGTCTGCATGGAGCACAGCTTTGCCCATCACACCACGTAATGATATGCCTTCTGGGATTATTCCAACCAATAGCAAAACATCAGTGGGCTACAGTAGCAGTAACCAGTTCACACTGATACATATATATATATATATATATATATATAAGTATGAATCTTACAACTGAAAATTAATGTATAGGATTTATGTATGTATGAGTATGTCAAGGTACAGCTGGTATAGTTTTATAATATAGTTTAGGAGAAAACACAATCTGAGATATAACTGCTTGAGAAGTCAGCTTTGTAATTGGCGTGAGCTTTAATGTCCCTGTTTTAAAAATGAAGAAAATATAATAAAATCTTATGGTTTGAGAAGCAAGCAGCAGGGGTTTGGTAAAAAAAAAAAAAAAAAATCATATTTAGACACCAAAATCATTTTGTTTCTTTATAAAGTCTGCATATATCTATTTACAGCCTTGACAACCATTCATATAAGATCGGGGAGGAAGTGGGTAAATAATGAAATTATCACGAGACTCCTATATTATCCCTGATAGGTGGAAATGGTGTTGTTACAACTCTCCTCATATTACAACCATACCCGGTCTCCCCTAACGTTCTAAATAAAACATTGACACAATGTTTCAAGATAAGAAAGAACATTCTCTCAGCCACCTTAGAAGAACATCATTGAGGCCAGAGGAGATGGAATATTTTTGTAAAACGTTCTTGTAATGTGAAATATTAACAAAGCTAGAACATTTTATCTGCAACATTTTGAGGATGTTTTGCGGATGTTGTTGAGGTAACAGACTATATAATGTTTTCAATAAAACATTGGCACAATGTTTCAAGATAACAAAGAAAGAACATTCTCACAGCCACATTAGGGGAACATTATAAGAACATCATTGAGGCCTGAGGTGGTGTAATGTTTTTTTATAAAAAGTTTTGGAATGTTCTTGTGTTTACAAAGCTACACTCTAAAAAAAAGATGGTTCTTTAAAGGTTCTTTACACGTAGAAACAGCTCTTTTTAGAACCGTATCCTCCTGAAGAACCTTTTATATGCTGAGACGGTTCTTTGCTTTAGAGTTTAGGGTTCTTTTTTCCCGCCTTTTTGTTTTCCAAATCTGTAACCGTCAAAGCCGCATCATTACTGGTTTTCTGGAGCTCAAGACAGACTTTGAACACACTCTTAAGAGGTAAATGATTAATTTCTTAAAATTTCTTAAAATTTAACTTTAAAAATGGTAACTAGTTTCATGCCAATCATGTCTTTTTCTCTTTTTAGTTTAACAGAAAATGCATGTGACCAGCTCTGTTCAGTTAAGGATGCTTACTTTCTCTTCACTAAGTAGGCCTAACAGAAATGTTGAAATAATGATCCATGATTGAATTATTTTTTTTTACGTTATGCATAAACACCCAGTCATAAATAACATTAAAGTTATCCCATGACCTTATATCTCTTTTTCTTTTAACATTATAAAGGGCTCACATACTGTCCATTTTTTCTAATTGTTTTACATAAATAACTGCACACATTATAACTCTAAACTGTGTTTCAGAAGCTGTCACATCCTACCACCTCATCATCAGCAATGAGAAACATAAAGATGGACATAAAGACATTGTGAAGATATTTCACTTGAACTTGGTCTTCATTAATTCCATATCATGTTCAGTGTCAACTGATATTTATTAATGTTTTCAGCTAATAGCAGTTGTTTGAGCCCTGTAATTTTTCCTACACTTTGCCA